GAGCTGGAAAAAGAGCCTGCCATTAGGAAACAAAATGATGTTTTGTTTGAATGTTCACGTATCTTAAATGATCCGGAGGGGTGGGGTGTTGACTGGTTTTAATCCAGTTTTGCCCCTTTCCCATTGGGTAGGAGGTGTCTATCACATCCTCTGTCACCTGTAGGACGTGGCAGCCCGAAGGCAACTGGATTTTTTTGGGGTGGGGGCTCCTCCTGCACCCAAGTTCGGCTTGGGAGACCAGAATGCAAAATACAGTTTACATCTGTAATTGCTGAGGTCGTTTTTCCTGCAGCACAGTTCTTCCTGTGTCAACTGGACTGAAACCATTTCAAACCATGTGAAAGTAGCTTGGTGGTCTATTTAAAAAAAAAAAAAAAAGGCATATTTAAAATTTCCCCTACTGAAGTTAGTCATTCTCAGGTATTAGTGCGTTCACTGTCTAGTCACAGTCATATTTTGTTGCTGTTGTTTTTAGGGGATGCGAGGTCTGGTGATGACCAGGTTCTCCTTGACTTTCATAGAATCATTTAGATTGGAAAAGACCTTTAAGATGACCCAGTGCAACCTTTCAGAGGTGGTAAGCAGGTTCTCCTTGGCTTTTAAGACTGCCTTCTTTTATTTCTTGGATTTTGGGGAGGGTTTGGGTGGTTGGTGGTTTTAGGTTGAGTTTTTTTTTCTATATTCTGGTTATTGAAAGTGTACGGAAAATCACGCTACCAGGAGTCGGTGTTCACAAAGGAGACAGAGGGGTCCTGTAAAAACTTTATTCAAATAAAGGGACATATCCCTGGGGGTCTTTCAGCCTACAGAGGGATGCAGCCCCCTTTTATCCTACTCCTTCCAACCGCAAGAGACCCTCCTCATTTCCCCTTTGGCTGAGGTACTCCAAGACCTTCAAGACACTCATGCAGTTAAGACATCCCAGACACACATGTAGTTATGCCCACATCATGTATCATGTGTGTCTTGGTCAGCTAAATTCTGATTGTGTCTTCTTTCCTTCCTCTTATCCTAAGTTTGGGTTCACACAGGCTTCTTTTGTTTATCTTAAGCACAGGCTTCTCTTGTCCCTCATCTTCAGCCTGGGTGTGCACAGACTACTTTTGTAAAGACTTGCAACTGGTGTTCATATCAAAAGGCAGGGGCAGAGCGGGGAGGAAGAAGCAAAACTCCAGCAGTCCTGGCCTAGGGTTTACTGAAGTGCTTTGGGCTCCTGCAGCTCGCGGGTACGGCTTTGCTTGTGTTCCTCAGTGCTGTGAGGGATGCGAATTTGGGGCTGGGATCCCTTCCGGGGTGCTCAGGCTGGGCTGCAGTCCTGTGGAAGTACTCCTGGAGGGATCGGTTGAGTGCAGCATCTTGGTTCAAACTCTGATGTCTCATGGGAGGTTTTAAATGAAATCTGCCAATATTTTGCTGTGCTGGGACACTGGTGCTTCTCACCGACTTAAACGTATCCTGAACTGGCACAATTTGGGTGTTTTTAGAGAGGGACATGGGTTCTTCCTGGCGTGCCTGGCTGGTTTATAGAGCAGGTTCTAAGCGACATTAGTAATTGATAACTATTTAAAGTCGTTTTGTTCTGTGCTACCAAGCTGTCCTTCTTTGGCTGGTCCCACTCATCCTGCCCTGTTGGGTTTCCCTGAGGCAGGGGTTGTGAGCAGGTCCAAGGAGGTCCCATCCAGTGCCTCCCTAGTCTCTCCTCCAGCTCTTGCTGGAAGAAAAGAGGAGGAGATCCTTCTCCCCCCATGGTCTGCCATCTGCATGGACAAGGGTTCCCGAGTGGAGAAGCTGTGTTTCTGTAGAGCACATTTGATTTCAGCAGTTTTCACAGATCCGGAGTGGCTCTGCATTTGCCAGGGCAGACTCCTGTCCTTCTCCAACAGAGGTTGGTGTGTCATGGTTGGAAGAGGTCTCGGGCTTGGTTGTGGTGGTGTCTCCTCTGACCTCCTTGCAGGTTGTCACCTTGGTCCCCTCTCGGTGCCTTAAGCTCCTCATTAACACCAGGCAGAGATCACGCTGACCTCACGCCGGGTTTGGATGAACCCGCTGAGCACTCCCAACTCGTGGAGGTCCTGGAGGCCCTCGGCCAGGAGCATCGCAGCTCTGCCGGGCGCTGGGAGGCTGCAGGTCCCGTGGGATGCAGAATACATGTGTTAGTGCCGTTCACTGGAGCAGCAGGGGAAAGCAGCCAGCCCTTGGGCGCTCGGGAGCGGCAGCAGTTCGCTGCTGTGGAGTTGAACTTGATGCACCAAACATCTATTTGGACGGTGGAAGTGGAGGTAGGAGCACGGTTGGACAGGGATGGATTGCGCCGTAGCATCGCCGGCCCTGTCTGCGCTCCCTGCAGTTATCCTCCTCTAAGGATGGCTACATCTCTATAATCTCTTAAATTTTAACTGTGTGTGACCATCCGAGCAGAGCGATTGAAACAAATCCGAGAGCAATAGCAGAAATAAAACCACTCTGGGCTGGAGAGAAGTAAGCAAAGTGAGGCCCCACCCTCTTTCCCAGAAAAAAGCACCAAACATGCTCAATAAACGCGAAGGTAATTTAAAATCTGAATCCAGGAGACAATGTGACTAGGATTTCATTACTTAAGCAAATGGATTTGCTTTTAGTGGATTCAGCCACAGACTGAAAGAAGCTTTCCCCAAGGGGTAAACATTTTTCCTGCATTTGAAAGGGTTTCTTGTATGAGAGGGGGGTGCGGGGGTGGGTGGGGGGATCAGGACTGTGGCTACCCACGGAGCACCTTTATTTTGGGTGGATTTGGGCATTCCCCAAAACTGTGCTTTTGGGCGGGTGGTTTTGGGGAGACCCAGGGGTGGGGTGGGAAGGATGCTGGGGGGATGCTGGGGCAGGCAGAATGCAGGGGGATGCTGGGGAGGGGGAGGGATGCTCGCCGCCCCCACCCCATGCCTTGTCAGGAGTTAACCAGCAGCAGTGCCAGCTCTGCAGACTGTTTGGAATAGTTTAAATGCTTTGACACTCTGGATGTACTAGATGGCAGGGGAGGCAGTTTACAGCGTAATTCATATGCAAAACTGCACTATAAATTTAAAACCTGTCTCAGTTGCCGTGGCACCACTAAGCATTTCATCAGCATACAGTACAGTATTTCTGCCATCTTTGTTTGCATTGCAGTGACTCATCAAAAGTCTGTCTTGTACCAACACTGAGAGCATTCCTCTGGCACTGATATTTCTCTGTTTTTAAAGCTTGGGTTTGAAACTGGCATTTACTTCAGGTCCCTAATCAAAGGGCTCTATTCATTGCAGAGAGCAGCCTGAATGTTAATCTGCATCCGGCCTATTCATTTAGATGCTGTGCGCTGCCGGGGAGATTTGACTTGGTAAAAGCTGGAGCTACAGCAGATACAAACCCTGGGGTTTGATACTACGTTTTATTTTATTTTATTTTTCCTCTCCCCTGAGCCATCATCGAGGCCGCGTGTAGCGGGGCGATACGGGGAGGGGGACGCGGAGCCCCTCGGCGAGCGGCCGCGCTGGGGACGGGGCTGCCGAAGGTACGTTCGCTCCTGGGCGAGGGGACTGGGAACTTCTTGCTCGGGGAGAATTTTTTTTGAACCGTGCAGATACAATTAAATTGGCTCTGAGTGTGTTCCCTTTTCTTCCTGTTACCCCGTGGCCTTGCAGATAGGACTGTTTTTTTTTTTTCCCCCAGCAGTGGGAACAGAGCAGCTCTTTGTGGGTTATTATTTTCTTTTTGGAGAGGATTTTTTTTTAAATCTTTCTCAGATAAACTACTTTTTTTTTCCTTTTTTATTTTTTTATATTCTTCTTAGGAGCGTTCGGTGGTAGTTACCCATAGTTTTTCTTCGGTAGTGTTGAAGGCAAACAGGATTTTAGCTCTCCTGGACTCTTGCGTGGAGCTCAAGGGGGGGCCGGTGGGGATTTGGGCTCCGGCTCCTGTCAGTGAATCCGCAGTGATTTGCTTCGCTGGAGTTTTGGTGCACGGGCTGCGCTAACGCTGCCCGCCCGGCCGATGTGTGGGGTTTGTGTATGAGCTCCCTGCCAACGCCAGCCTTGACTTGGTCGCCGAAAGGAGGAATTGTCCCCACGGCCAAAAGGTACGGCTGGGCCCCAACAGCG